ATTCTGAATAAAAATAATTAAAGGAGTATCATACTATTAAAAGGAGTATCCTACTATTGAGGAAACTGTTTGGATTCGAGGAAGAAAAGGCTGCTGTGACAAGTTTAAAATTTTTATCAAATGTTAGAGTTTAAGATACAAAAGGTAGTTTGTAACGTTGATTCGTTTTTATTTAAAGTATAGATTGAATACATGAATGTACAAAAAATAACTGACAACCAATAGTAATGAAAAATTTTGTGCAAAACAAATATTGTAATTTGTGAAAAACTAAAACACTTTATGAAATGTTTAAAAATTTATGCAAGTTTTATGCAAGTTTATAAATCTATCATTCGGCCATTGTGAGATCTTCCTGAATTTCGCTGCGTTCTTCATTTGCCTTCATGACAGTTGTCTCTATGGCGCTTTTAACGCGAGTAGGACATTATTTAACTTTACGAGGAAGAAAGGGCTTCATATTTATGTCAATACAAAAGTTCGGATTTAAAGATGAGTCCACATTCGAGGAAGTCTACTTCGTAGAAGTCTAGGTTATGTTATGTTCGGATTTGGGGAGTTCTACTGTACAATATTGAACAAGTGCAAAGATTTAAAGGTCTCGGTAGTATTTTAATCGTAGGTGGTCAATGCGACACCGAAGCCCGAAGGCACATTGGGATAAGGAAAGATGCTTTCCAAAAGCTAAGCAAAGTATTAAGAAACGAGAAAAGCTTAAAAATTTTATTACGTTTTAGAGTTTAGGACAGAAAACGATTGTGCAGTTTCTTCTTCATAATTTAATTTTGTTTGTGCAAAAGTTTGGATTGGAAGATGAGTCCAAATTCTTGGAAGTCTAGATTATGATATGTTCGGATTTTTGGGAGTGCTCATATATATATATATATATATATATATAATTATTTTTTGAAAAAATATGATTCCTTCGCTACATAAGAGTTCTCATGTTTCAAAAACGAGAGCCGAAAACCTCAATATAATTATTAAAATTAAATTGTGTTAAAGTATCAATCCCTGTTTAATCCTCAAGCGAAAATTTAGGAATAATCAATCTTGAAATTTACGCATCTTTATAAGCATGTTCATTCGCAAAATTAATTACTATGGAAACGGCTGTGGTGACCATTTTGATAAGGGGCCTAAGAGTTAATTTTCATCCACATATCAGTCACCTTCGGAAAGAGGTCAAGCTGAGGTAGGGTCGGGGTATCCATTTCAAAGCGAATGATGGCATTCATGTACGCACATCTTCTAGTCAGTCACAGCGAAAGATAGCTTTTGGCACCATAATATGTCGTTAAGTGTCTAGAGAATTTTGTGTTATTTTATTTATTTATTTATTTATTATCTTTTTATTTTTTCTAAAGGGCTGTTTCGTACTTAAACGCATCGCACTGAACTACAATTTGTTTTTTTGATGACTTCATAAAGGATTTTTCTATCTTATGATTAGGTTAAGCTTTTAAACTTTTTACTAGACTATGAAATTTAATTTTTTTATGCTAATTATTTAATGCTAAAATTTGTTGATGTCGGCAGAAAACCGTTAACTCATGTCTATGATTTAATGAATTTTCATTATTTAGAATCTTAATAATGTTTAGTTTTTCATGTAGGCATAAAAGGCATGGGTCATCCCAGGTTTTACAAGTTCTTGTTCTATTTATTATTTTCCATTTTACTTTTGGTGTTTTATTCATTTCTTTTAAATGCCAAAAATATTTGGATAGAGATGTCTGATTTCTATTTCTAATATTATTGAAGGAGCTTTTGTGTTGTCTCCATCTAATTTTAAATTCATTCTTCGTTGAACCAATGTATATCTTATCAGTCTTCAGGGTTTCTACAATCACACAATTTTTCATTACTTTTGTCTAATTTTCATATAGGATTTTTATTAATACTGTTTTGGCATATGTGTTTTTCCAGGATTTTATCATTATGTTTTTTCACGATTTTTAGTGCAACAGTAACTTAATTTTAAGGTATTTTTATTAAAGATCTTGCTAAGTCTGCTGTTAGTAGGAAAGTGTTTTTCAATTAAAGCTAGGAACTTATGTCCTAGCTTAATACTAACCAAACGGAGGGGTATACCAAATGATTTTCCTTTTCCTGTTTTTCTTCTGGTTAGTAATATTGTTTCTATAATTTATGTTAGCGTTTTTGTATCCGCATATTTTAACATAATTATTTAATTTATGTTAGCGTTTTTGTATCCGTATATTTTTTAGGGCTGTGTTATAAAAATTACTGTGTTGTTGGAATATTTCCTTATTAGCGGAGTCCATGCTGATTCTTTTCTCTATTGATGTGGGTATATGGTTAATTATTGATGGAGGGTGGTTTGACTTAGGGTGTACATACAAGGGATTAGTATTAGGTTTTCTGTCAGGTAGGTATATGTTGTTCATTAAGTCTAGAGTTACGTCGAGGAAGTTTACCCTTTTTAATTTAGTATTGACTGTAGTTTTTAAGTTTAGTTTTCTGAATTCATCTTTCTAATTTTATCTATTTTAAAATTTGTGGAGTTCCTCACTACCATGAGCCCGTCATCTCTGTATAGCCCGATGTCCTTAATGTCTAATTCACGGTGCGCGGTTAGATTGTATAGTATAAATAGACCGACAAGGTCAGAAGACTCTGCAGAGTCTAAAGATCTCATGGTGATGTCAAAATTGTCATTAGTGTTTTTAATCCATTGGTCCCCATTATGGATGAGGACAGATTTTTTTGCACAAAGAATTATGCTCATTTCTTCCTTAGTTAAGTCAGAATATACAGTAGCAAACTCCAGGGCAGTCGTGAAGAAATCTTTTGATACTGACTGGTAATAATCCACAATATCGAACTGTATTAGGGTGCAATAAGGCTTATTGTCGATGTTGGTAAACCAATTGATGACTTCTTTGGTATTAATCCAGAGTGTTAATCCAAGGCATTTTTTGATTTGCCTAGTGATCCTTTCTAAGATTCTTTTGCTTATCTTTCCTATGTCGGGTCTGGTTGGGTTTATCATTCTGGTAGTAGGGTCTTCCTCATAATCTTGTTTGTGGTTCTTAAGAGTGATGTAGCATTCCTTTTCAGCTAGTTTGCCTACCCTATCGCTTATTTCTAATTTTTCAGTAATAATTTTACTAGTTCTGTTGATACTGTCTACCATATTAATATTGTTATTATGAGCTTTTTTATAAGGCTTAGTTAATGCTTTTTTAATTAATTTGTTGTTGTCGTCTGCCGTCAATTTGTAGAAGTTTCCCGTTTTGTCGGAGTTAACTAATATTTTATCGCTGGCGTTGATGTTTTTGACTATTTGGTCTAGATGTTTTTGGAAGTTGCTTTTCTTTTTTTGAAAGATGTTATTGATTACATTGAATAGGTTATTTTCAAATTCCTGTAGTTTTTTATTAAATGGTGCAACTTTTTTACTTTTAAGACTGTAAACCTCATGTTCTTTTTTGGTTAAGTTATTCCCTCGTAGGAAGAATCTCATTCTTCTGATTAATTCCTCTGTTTTTTGAAAAAGTTTAACGAAATAATTCCGTTTGTTTATGCGTGGAATGTTCTTCAGAGAAATGCCGAAATTTACTTTTTCCATATTTTTAAAGTTCTTATTTTAAAAATAAAGGTTCAGAGTGCTCCACTTTAATTTGGGAGCCGATATATATGTGCAGATATGTAGAAAAATAGGAAAGAACACGTTAGGTGAATAGTCTGGAGTTCTTTAGTATTTTTGTTTTTTATTTTAAAAAAACAGGGCTCCATACAGAGGTAGTAGAGCTTAAATTATAATTATAATTATTTTTTGAAAAATATGATTCCTTCGCTATATATGAGTTCTCGTGTTTCAAAAACGAGAGCCGAAAAAATATATATATATTGTGTGTATATATATATATATTCTTTAACTTCATGGGGAAGAATGGGCTTCATATTTATGTCAATACAAAGTTCGGAATTGAAAATGAGTCTAAATTCTTGGAAGTCGAGATTATGTTATGTTCAGATTTGGGGAGTTAAACTGTATTTAGGAGACTAAATTTTATTTCCTTTTTCTTAACATTTTTATTATCTAAAATATCCTTATAGTATTTGTAAAAGAAAGTTAAATAAGCTAATCTTTAAAAATGAATTTTTACGTTTTTTTTTTTTTTTGTTTTGCTTTTTTTTTGCTTACCCGATTGGCATGAATGTCGGTTTCTAAAGATGTTCATGATTTAAACGTTATTCTTAGTGGATATCCATATCTGAGTAGAAGTTCCATTCTTATTTGCAAACAGTATATTTATTAACGTCTGCCGGCCTGAATATTCGAGAAATCTTATAGGCAATGTCCTTCGTGGCTGAGGTGGTATAAGCACGTCGGAACTAACGACTGTTTCTCCTCCCTAGAGGGACGCAGGTTTGTACTTCTCGAAGAATTGTATTTCATAATTGAATTTCTCGAACATTATCAATATTTTGGAGGTTATTTAAAGTTGAAATAAATTTTGGATTGTGACTAATATTTTGCGAGGGAATATTGTATTAACGATTTTTGACAATAACAATGTTTTTTTTTCTAGATAAAAGCTCTACTATTTAATCCATAACTGGGGGTAGATGAATTCATGCCTTTCCCTAGGCATTAGCATGTAAGTGAATGTAACCAAGACGTTAATGCTCCAATACATACCGCTCGAGTGCTTAAGCATTGGTATGAAGAGCATGAAAGTGAGCTAGAACACATTTAGTGGCCTCCCCAATCTCAAGATATCAATATTATTGAACATTTGTGGTGCATTTTGGAGCGACAAGTTAGGAGCCGCTATGCTCCACTGTCGTGTCTTAAAGGAGCAGGTGTTAATGGAAGAATGGCTGAAAATTCCTCTGGTTGAAGTCAGGAAGCTGTATGATTCCATTCCTAGATGTATTAAAGCTGTCTGTGAGGCTAAAGGAGGACCAACTCCATATTAAATAAATTTTCTTTGAATTTAACAAGTGTTCCAATTATTTTGTCCAACCCCTGTAGATAGATAGATAGATAGATAGATAGATAGATAGATAGATAGATAGATAGATAGATAGATAGATACGAAAAGACTGAGCGATAGATAGATGAAAGATATGAAAAAGACTGGAGATAGATAGATAGAGGATAGATAGATAGATACGAAAAGACTGAGAGATAGATAGATAGAAAGATACGAAAAGACTGAGATAGATAGATAGATAGATAGATAGATAGATAGATAGATAGATAGATAGATAGATACGAAAAGACTAAAAGATAGATAGAAAGATACGAAAAGACTGAGATAGATAGATAGATAGATAGATAGATAGATAGATAGATAGATAGATAGATAGATAGATACGAAAAGACTGAGAGATAGATAGATAGAAAGATACGAAAAGACTGAGATAGATAGATAGATAGATAGATAGATAGATAGATAGATAGATACGAAAGACTGAGATAGATAGATAGATAGATAGATACGAAAAGATGAAAGATAGATAGAAAGATACGAAAAGACTGAGATAGATAGATAGATAGATAGATAGATAGATAGATAGATAGAAAAGATGAGAGATAGATAGATAGAAAGACTGAAAAGACTGAGATAGATAGATAGATAGATAGATAGATACGAAAAGACTGAGATAGATAGATAGATAGATAGATAGATAGATAGATAGATAGATAAATACGAAAGACTGAGATAGATAGATAGATAGATAGATAGATACGAAAAGACTGAGATAGATAGATAGATAGATAGATAGATAGATAGATAGATAGATAGATACGAAAAGACTGAGATAGATAGATAGATAGATAGATACGAAAGACTGAGATAGATAGATAGATAGATAGATAGATAGATAGATAGATAGATACGAAAAGACTGAGATAGATAGATAGATAGATAGATAGATAGATAGATAGATAGATAGATAGATAGATAGATAGATGGATAGATAGATAGATAGATAGATACGAAAAGACTGAGATAGATAGATAGATAGATAGAGAGAGAGAGAGAGAGGGGGGGGGAGAGCTGAATTAACAGAAATAAATCGAGGAATGCTAGAAGATTTCGAAAATATATGCAATAAACCAGCGGGCGAATGCCAACTGTGGTCCACAAACACGAGGCAGACTTTGCCATGGAAACATAATTTTCACTTGTCCAAACGATCAGTTAATTTCAGTTGCAGGAGATTATCGAATCTGTGTCGCGTCATCGTGCAGATGGCTTACTGCGATAGGAACCCAGCAAGTAGGGTCGAGGGCAAGTACCCTGGGGCTGAGAATCTGGAAGGGGATGAAGAGGAGTCGACTATAAGATAAGAAATAGCAAGTTAGATTATGTCGGATAATTGTAGAAAGATGTGAACACACTGAAGATGTGGGTAGTATAAAGGGGAAGATGTTAGTTAAGAAATTGATATAAGATGAAAGGAAGCAAGGAAGGAAGGAAGGAAGGAAGGCTGAAATCTAATTTGGGAAGGAAGATAGGGATATGAGGAAAGAAGGAATTGAAAGAAGAGGGAAGGATGAAAGAAAAGAAGGGAAGGAAGAGAAAGAATGGAGATGTAGAAGAAAGAGAGTGAATAAAGGAAGTCACGAAAGAGAAGGAAGGAGAGAAGAAAGGAAAGAAAGAAGGAAGCGAAAGTGGGAGGAGGTAGAAGGAAGCGAAAGAAGGGGGAGGTAGAAGAAAGCGAAAGAAGGGGGAGGTAGAAGAAAGCGAAAGAAGGGGTAAAAAGAAAGCGAAAGAAGGGGGGGAGGTAGAAGGAAGGAAAGAAGAGGAGGTAGAAGAAAGAAAGAAGGGGGGAGGTAGAAGGAAGGAAAGAAGGGGAGGTAGAAGGGGAAAGGGGAGGTAGAAAGAAGAATGGGGGAGGTAGAAGGAAATGAAAGAAGGGGGAGGTAGAAAGAAGGAAAGAAGGAGGTTGAAAGGGAAGAGAAAACGAAAGAAGGGGGAGGTAGAAGGAAGCGAAAAGGGAGGTAGAAGGTAGGTAGTGAAAGAAGGAAGGAATACTTGAAAGAGAAGGAAGGAAGGACGGAAGGAATATATGAATAGAAAGGAAGGGAAGGAGGAAGGAAAGAATGAACGAAGGAAGATAAGGAAGGGAGAAATAGGAAGAAGCTACGAAAGGAAGGAAGGAAAGAAAGAAGGAAGGAAGTAGATAAAGGAAGAAAAGAAAGGTGAAAAGAAAGAAAGAAAGTAAGAAAAGAAAGAAAGAAAGAAAAAGAATGAAAGAAAGGGAGGAAAGGAGAGGTAGAAGAAAGCTATGAAGTGTAGTTAAGAAAGGAAGGAAGGAACGAAGGAAGAGAGAATGAAATGCAGTTAAGAAAGGAAGAAAGTGATTGAAAGTGAAAGAAGAGATGAAAGGAAGGAAAAATGTAGGAAGGAAAGAAGAAAGGGAAGGGGTGAAGAAAGAAGGAAGAGGGAGTGGAGAAAGAAAGGAAAGAAGAAATAAGAGAGAAAGAAGGAAGGAAAAGATGGAAAGAAGAGGGGAGAAGAATGGTGAGGAAGAAGGAAAGCTTCAAACAAGGAACGAACGATTGGTTTAGTTTGCTTTAGTTTGGTTTACGGCATATCAACATCTAAATGGGGTATTTAATGCCGTGAAGATTTTTATTGTTGGTAATTTTTTTTTTCAAAAATGTATTGCTGATAATAATGTATTGCTGATAATAATTTTTTACAAAAATGTATTGCATGTATTAAAACCTATTTTTACACTTTTACAATGCTTTTTACCTCAGTTTCGGGGTTGACTATTTGCCCATAGCTGGGACCCTAACAGGTGCTACCACCCCGGGTCAGGGTGGACTTAGAAACACCAGCAATTAAGTGGTGGTCCCACGCTCCTCCTGATCAGAGGTCTTACTGCCGGATGTAGTTTATCGTCTTACCCAGGATGCGGATGTAGTTTATCGTCATACCAAGGAAGGAAGGAAGGATAAATAAAAGGTAGGAGGGAGGGGAGAGAAAGAAAATGTATCCTTGACAACTATTCTTCGGAAATGACAAGGCATTTAAGTGGTTCTCCCCATTTATTAATCCCTTTCTTTCTGTTTGGATGATCAGGAAGACGTTATGGCTTCTTCTTTTATTATTGCATTTTCTTTCTCTCCCTCTCTCGCATACGCACTATCTGTCTCTCTTTCGAGAGAGAGAGAGAGAGAGAGAGAGAGAGAGAAAGCGAGAACAAGAGGGGGTACGGTGGAGTTCATTTATTCTTGGGAAAGATATGATTTTTTAGGAAATGAATTCAATCTGATATATTGTTATTTTTAATTTCTTTTGTTTAAAGGTTATTTTTTATGGATACTTATATTCGAGTAGAAGTTCTGCTTTTTAATTAAACACTGTTTGTTTTTTTTATCCAACTATATCTACCGACCTAAATATTCAAGAAATCTTGTCAGAAAAATATGCATCCTCCGGGGAACCGTCATTGGATCTGACGAGCCTAACCGTTCGGCCACGTAGGGCTTCCAGAGAAACAAATATGAGTAACCATCAAAAATAACGCTTAAACGAAATAAATTTAAATATGTCGGATTTAATCCATTTCCTAAAAATAAATTGTCTTCGTTTACATTAGGATACGATACAGAGCAGATTTATATGTCAGGATCAGATGTGGCCGAGCGGACAGTCACGTTAGATCCAATGACGGTTCCCCATATGGGATGCATGTTCGAATCCTTCCGGAGAACGCATATGTTTTTCATTAGATTCCTCGAATAAAAAATACTGTTTAATAAAAAAAAAAAAATAAAAAAATAAAAAATAAAAAACAGAGTTCCTACATAAAAAATAAGGTTATAAACAAAATAAATTAAAAATATTATTTACATTGTTCGGACTATCATCCTTATCTTTGTTGCCATATTTATCACTTCGTTTCGGCCGTTGTACGTTCCGGCCTTCTTCAGGTGTTCGGAATGTCGAACTGAACCCTTTATTTCGCTCGCTGGGGTAGACTGTTCTAGTTCCACGTGCCATGTTTTAATGGATGTCAGTTACCTCCTGTTAATTCCCCTCTCCAAGTTCTCCACCGCCTTAGCCAGGTATTGAACTCACACTCTTTAGGTCCTGTCACTGGGTCTAACGGCTTTATCTACTGTGCCATGTGTCCTTGAAAAAAACAAATGTATGGATTTATCTCTTCACTCCCAGTGGAAGAAGAGACAGATTCAACAGGACAGACTGGGCCCTATAGCCTTGGGTGGCGAACGGTCTAGGAGAAGGAGGGTCGTTTGGGGACCGTGTGGCATACTCTGTATTCGTCTCTTCCAAAAAGTGTGCTTGGTTCGGCACAAGCCTTCACCACTAGAATCAAATATTTGCGGGTCGTCTGGCTGTTGGTTCTAAGAACTGAGCTGCTTGGCCCTCATACATCGAAAAGGACGGAAGAGTCCAGTAAGTCTGTATATGTATGTATATGTGTGTGTGTGTGTGTGTGTGTGTGTGTGTGTAGATGCTAATATGGCAGAATAATGAGATGGTAAGTATATAAGAGAATTCGAAACATTTTTAATATGTTTTTTGCTATATATATATATATATATATATATATATGTATGTATGTATATATATATATGTATGTATGTATGTATATATATATGTATGTATGTATGTATGTATGTATATATATATGTATGTATGTATATATATATATATATATGTATGTATATATATATATATGTATATATATATATATATATATATATATATATATATATATATATATATATGTATATATATATATATATGTATATATATATATATATGTATGTATATATATATATATATATATGTGTATATATATATATATATATATATATATATATATATATATATATATATATATATATATATATATATATATATATATATATATCCGGCGGAGCTATGTAAAGTACCAGGTTGAGAACTGGCGCGGGGTAGCTGATTGAACATGACGAAGTTTGGGGAAAGTTGAAACAAAAATGTCGCTCATACTTAGAATCAGAGAGAGACAGTTGAAATCTGTAGGGCACGTTAACGAGGAAAGAGGGCTTGGAAAATTTGATACTCACAGGACAGATTAAATGCTAGGGGAACAGAAGAAAACAGCGCATAACCCACCTTGCGATCTTGAGTATATGGATGACATGACAGGTCTTAGGAGAGATAACAAACAAAATTTATTAAGTGTTACAAAGTACAGGAATTGTATAAAGACATGATCGACAAAGTCCTGAAGGGACACGGTGCATAAAAGAAGATTTACATACGAATCACCCATTACCCGCGACTTTGGCAAGATGTGACACATGGTAGGTTAAACGTGCTGTTCCCCTATGCGTGCATATATGTCAAGGATAAAAATTGTCTCGCTGGCGTCAGTATCCACTGACCTTCATTCTTGTACGCTATCAGGGAGGTCGTGTCGCAGTGTTGGAATCTCCAGGGCAAGGCGTCCAACATTATTTTTTAAGAGGAAGAGATAACAGATACTACATTTTGATCCGTTATTTACCCACATCCCCCATATTTAACAGTCCCCACCCAACGAAGGATGTATGTGGCACAAGACCGAGTTTACCGTGGATTCTCCGAGCCTGTAGGCTCGACCAAAAATATTCCCGTAGAATCTGCATAAACGGATTCGGGCCTGTCTACGTCCCCGGACGAAACTTTGCCCTTCCGCAAAGTCTCGTCTGGGTTCCTCTCTGCTCAAGGCACAGAGTTCGAACAGTACGAACAGTCTATATCACTGTTCCGACATCCCCAAGTTAGTAGTATTTGACAGAGGCTCAGTTTAATGTGGCGTGCCTATACACGTAAGTATGACTCAATGACAAATATTGTCCAGTCCCTGCGACCACTCTAGCGTTGGTATTCCATCAGACCTCACGCTTTAGTCCAATGAGGGAGGTGCTACCGAAGGGTTGCAATGACCGGGACAAGTCTTCGCTCATAATTTTAAGAGGAAGTGAGTTCAGTCCAAGAGGTGGATAAAGTAGTTTTTTGGGGAGTTATACGTTGAAATAACGGTTCTCGTACGATCGCCGAAGTTAAGCAACATCGAGCCTAATTAGATGGGTGACCGCTTAGAAAAACTAGGCTCTGTAAGTAATACCATATGTGAGTGGTGCAATAGATAACGGCTCTGAATTGGAAATCGGAGAGCCGAGTTCCAATTCCTGTCGAATTTGTTATATTCACTTGCGTGCAAATACCTTTGGAAAAGGTGTAAAACCACCTCTTCTGCTCCCCCTCGATATGGGTTAATTAGTAGGACTAATATCAACAAACCCTTATTATCACCAAAAGATTCTTACAATATAAAAATATTTTCTGGCTTTAAATAACCTGCAAAGGGTTGATAAACCGCAAAAAAAAAACAAATAATTCAATCAAGTAATCTGCGCGTTATATGGTTAGTGGATTTTTCCCTGTTCCGTTCGCTTTTGATATGTTTCTGTGTACTTTATCGCCGGATTTTTTTATTATTAGAAAAAATAATTCAGTAAATAGTCTAGCAATTATCCATTACATGAAATAATTTTTATTTTTTCATTTTTTTTTTTTGTATATATTCTATATATATGTGTGTTTATCGATATGTAAAGAAAATAAATGGAATGCTGAATTCATGTTCAATTTCATTTTCGTTAATTGCAGCTTCCAAAGGAGAAGCAGGTCGGAAGCAGTATTACGTCAGAAGACAGAGCAGCATGCCCGAGTAAAAGCGAGGAGGAAAATGAAAGTGAAAGTGAAAGTGACATTTTAGATCACCATGGCAACATCGCAGAGCCCGACAAAAACACGTATACACCTGTCACGTCACGCGACCCTGTCGAAAGGGTCAGAAGCAAGACCGTGTTTTTTTTTTTCTTGTTAGTTATTTTTTTATTTATTTATTTTTTTTTAAATTCTTTCTTTTTACAGATTTTCTTTTTTCGTCATTTTATTTATTTTTTTACTGAGAAAAGATTATTTTTTTGGGTCCTTCTAAGATTTCTAATTACTGAAATGTCTTAGATAACACTGAATAACCCGTTTCTTTAAGGGCTAATCGGTAACAACTAAAACAGTAATATATAAAGGTTTAGTTTTGTCGCAGGAATATGTATATTATTAAAAGAAGCACGGTGCTACTTAATAAAATTTGGGTAGGGCGACTAAATCAGATGTTAAATGTAGGAGGGGGAGAGATTTTAAATTTTAAAGACTCCTGATTCTTTTTTTTTTTTAATCGATAATAAAATGAATATTATTTAGGTCTATTTTATTACATTTGTTGCATTGATTTTAAATCCACATTTTTGCTCCATTTTTTTTTTTTTTTTTTTTTTTTTTTCTTCTTTTTCTTTTTTGCTTTCCCTTTGTACTTATTTTCTGGATTGTGATCTATATACCTTTTCCGTATATAACACTTATAAAAAGAAAGTTTTAGACGCTTACGTTTTTGAAAAAAAAAAATGAAAATAAAATTTTTGGATTTATTTGAAAAATTAATGGCAGAAACGATTTCAGACAAATGATTCAGCTCAGCTCAATAGCATTGTCACATATTTAAAACCAGGAAGACAAATAGTCTTCCTTTTAGTTTTCCGTTTCAGCAGAAAACGGGGGTCTGAAACTCCCCAGCACCCCCTATAGCGCCGTGGATGTTAAAAGATGCTTTAATTTTTACCTTTTCGTGCCTAAATATTCAACTGGTCATGCCTCAGCGAATATATTAATGCCTTTTTGTAGCGTTAAACTGACAAACTCCCCTAATTTTGTTTTTAAAAACAATAATCTAAAATTGAATGAATAACGCTTCTCTTTATATTGGCAATTGTTTAAAAAATCGTTTTCTATTTTAAAACCATTTGAATAAAATCACGCACAAATTTCATACGCGTCCATCCACTTCAAAACATCTTTGTGTGGGCTTTCTATAACGCTTATGTGCAAACGTATACGCGTAAATACATACATGCATTTGTACCAACAGATTTAGACATATATACATATATACGCAGAAATAAAAAAAAAATAATTGGAAACATCATTCTTTTAATATTAAAATTCGGATTTTCTTCCTTGCCGAAGAGAAGCAAAAAGAAACGTTTGCAAACTCTCACCCTGCGGTGATTCTTATCTGACTGGGCCATATTTTAACGATTGAAGATAGTGATGACAAGGGCTAGCGCCAAAGGTCTAAGGTCAGTGGCGTTGTTCTTCATCA